CCCTGGAGGGCAAGGCCTGACCACACTCGTTCTCAGGTCCCGGCAGCCTTGCCCGGAGTAAGGACCATGGCATGTCTAATGGAAGTCAGGGGACCCTGAGATCTGCTGTTTTATTTCGTCTCACGGAGCATTTGATGAAGGGTCTGCCACATACGACCGCGTGGTAAAAGGTTGGAGATATGCAAATAACAATGACGAGGGTGTAAATGGAGACACCCAGGGGTGAGGCCATTCCTGGAGAGGTGAGGAGAGAGGAAAACGGAGGCGACCACCTGGGGAAGGGCAGGGCAGGCATCTTGGCCTTTTTGCCTCGTTAGCTCCCAAAGTGCCGTGAGAAGTGTGCAGGGAAAGGAGGGGAAGAGACGGGCCAGCAGATGGCATGGCGGTGACATCGCTGGACGCCCGCACGGCTGACCACGGTGTCAGGCCCAGACCCAGTGGCTTGAAAATGATGCCGGGCATGTGTGTGCGTGTGCCCAAGATCCCGGGAGGGGAACGGAAGAGGAGGGACTCTGGTATGTCCAGCCCCCTGTGGGGGTGATTTCTCACTTTTCCTCTTAAAGAGAGTCTGTCTCTGTCTCTCTCTCCTGTGAACACATATGACCCATCTCAAAAAAAAAAAAAAGAAGAGAAACAGCAATGGCCATAGTGGAAGTGAATTTTTTTTTTTTTTTTCTTGTAGGATTTACAATTAGAAGCTGCTTGGGACCAGCAGTTGGCGTAATGGCTATGTCACTGGACTCTCATGTAGCCAACCGCGATTTGAGTCCTGGACCCGGTGGCTTAAACTCATGCGGGGCGCGTGTGTGTGCGTGCCCAAGATCCCGAGAGGAGAATGGAGAAGGGATTGCAGCGTGGCCATCCTCCCTGGGGGGTGATTTCTCGCTTTCTGTTTCTCTGTCTCTCTGTCTTTCTGGTGAGCGCATGCGCCCGATAGCAAAAACTTCCAAAAAAAAAAAAAAAAAAAAGAAGAAGAAAAAGAAGAAGCCCCTAGCCCCTATTCCCTCTTCAATTGCCAGTAGGTATTTCCAAGGGAGAGGGTACCTCCGGGCCAATTTCCAACTCCTCTCGCCCCTGGCTTCTTTCATCAGCAACACCCAGCTAGAAGCGAGTCAGGGCTTGCCCAGAGAAAGAATTTGCCTTCCATAACCTCCAGGAGGCCAGGAAGGAGTCACTGGATTCCAGTAGTGACCAGAAGTCCAGCCCAGAAGCCCAGTCCCCCTTCCCTCTCCGTTCCCCAGCAGAGTCCAGACAGCACCCCTCTGGGATGGCCCCCAAGACTAGAAACCGGAATTCGCCGAGTAACACCAGCCTGGGCTGCGGCCTCTCTCTAACTTGTTGCCAAGTGCCCCCGCCTGCCTGCTCCTCATCCACATTTTTCAACAGGGGCCAGAGCAACAGCCGGTGGCTGGTGATAGGTGGTTAGACCTCATACAGTCGAGTCCCAGACTCGGTGACTTGATAAACATGCCAGGCGCATGTGCGTGCGTGCGTGCCCAAAATCCCAAGAGGAGAATGGAGGAGATGGGATTGTGGTGTGGCCATCCGCCCTGGGGTGATTTCTCCCTTTCTGTTTCTCTCTGTCCTTCTCTGTCTCTCTCCAGTGAGCACACTGACCTTATACTCAAAGCTAGAAAAAAAAAAATCAACCAGAAACTCAGGTCAGCTCCATTTGTCCTTGTGAAAACAGGGGCTGCAGGCACGGCTCCATCCAGCAGCTCCCTGTTCCTGGGATCCAGGGGAGTAGAAAGAAGGAAGAGAGAGCCTGGCCAATTCAGGGAGAAGCTGCAGGAGAGCTCTTACAGAGCCTGGAAACCCTTTCTGACTTTTGACCCAAGTTGTCTTTCTTCCTATTTTTATGAACACAAATCCCTAAGTGCGTTTTGTGTCCAGAGACGAAAGTACTATGAATAACTGCTGATTGTTGATGAACTTGTGAATCACCCTGTGAGAGAGGGAGCCGGAGAAGGGAGCAGGAGTTTTGGAGGCTGAATCGAATGTGTTGTAAAATATTTAGCAAATGATCCTCCAAGCCACAGGGAGAAAGGACAGGGGTGGGAATCTGCAAGCTGCCAGCATTTAAAAGCTATTTAATGCTAACCAGCAGTGCCAAGAGCTCAAAAAGTCTCTCTTCCTCCATTGGCAAGGACAGCCCCGATAATGTGGAAAGGGCTTGGCGGGGCAGGGAGGGTGGTGGGAGCTGGGATGCACAAGCTGAAAGACGTTTTGTTCGAGGAGCCTAATAAACAGGGGGTCTGCTCCGACGTGGGCTCCTGCTCGCACATTTCCGCTTAAGATGTCCCTGCTTGTAAATCCTCCACACGGAACAAGCAGTACGAAGCCTCCAGTCAGTCATCTGGATGTTTCAAAATATCCTGATGTTTGGCATCCAGCAAAAAAAGAGCCATATGACTAAGCGAATCTGTCACTTTCTTTCTAAATGTTTGGATGTCACTTAGACAACGGCTTCAGTCTCTGGTCGCCAAGTAACTTGGCTGGATCTGCCATCCTGAAAGTCTGAGCTCAGAAATTGTTCTTCCTAAAGGGTGAGGGGTCCTACGTTTTTTTTTTTCTTAATTAAAAAAATTGTTTTAAGGTTTTTGCCTTAGGGCATGTGTGCTTGCCAGAGAGACAGAGACAGAGATTTTGGGCAAGCATGCGCAAGTGTCTGGTGTGATTTGCAAACTGCCGGGTCGGGGATTCAAACTGCAGTCTGCCACATGGGAGTCCAGTGCCTTCATCACTGTACTACCTGCTGGCCTCAGGATCCTTCATTTTCTTTTTTCTTTTCTTTTCTTCTTTTCTCTTCTTTTCTTTCTTTTTTTTTTTTTTTTTGTTTGCTATAGGGAGCGTGTGCGTGCTTTCCAGAAAGACAAAGAGACAGAAAGCGAGAAATCACCCCCCAGGGGGGATGGCCATGCCGCAATCCCTTCTTCCTCTATTCTCCTCTTGGGATCTTGGGCACGCACGCACACCTAGCGTGAGTCTCAGTCACCGGGTCAGGACTCGAACCGCGGTCGACTACATGGGAGTTCAACGACATAGCCATTAAGCTAACTGCTGGTCCCAGGATCCTTCATTTTCTGAGAGAAAATCAAGATTCCCTTCCGTAACCTGACTCTTTGCAGATATGCTTATTTTTAAAGTAAAGGATGAAAAGATCTGTCTTGAAATTTTGGCTTGAAAAACCTCCTAGCTCAAGTTATGTCCTATGGAATAAAAATACCATGAGGCAAGCTAAACTCAGGAGGGATGGGCAGGGAAATCATTTCCGTCAGTGGAAATAACCATCCTGGAGAAGCGAGGTCTCATGATAATTTGGTTATAAGGCATTCTTCAAACCAATCTATGATGAGTTCCTGGGGGGCCACGCTAGTGAGTTGGGTGGCTTTCTAATCTGGTGACAGGGCCAAGGTCCATGCCTTTTGGGAACTTGGAATCTGGTTGCTGGGAGGTGTGCATGACATAAATGATACGGATGACTAGCCAAGAGGTCCCAAGGAGGGTGACAGGATTAATTATAGAAGAATTACTCCATGTAAGTAGGATCTGAGAAGACATATTCTCCTTCGTGTTTTTTTTTTTTTTTTTTTTTTTTCCCTTTTTGGGTTTTTTTTTTTTTTTTCCTTTTTTGTTTTTGAGCTTTTCTATTGCTGATTGATGCTGTTCTTTTTTTTTTTTTTTTGGAGAGTTTTTTTGCTATAGGGCGCGTGTGCTCGCCAGAAAGACAGAGAGAGACAGAGACAGAAAGTGAGAAGTCACGCCGCAATCCCTTCTCCTCCATTCTCCTCTTGGGATCTTGGGCACGCATGCACACGTGCCCAGTGTGAGTTTAAGGCACCGGGTCCAGGACTTGAACCGCGGTTGACTACATGGGAGTCCAGCGACACAGCTGTTACACCTATTGCTGGTACCGTCTTTCATATTCTTTAACTATCCTAGTCCAACATATGCTTGAGGCCCACTGCAGCGAGCCTGCAGATTCATTCCTGCCTAACCAGTCTTCGTTCACTCGACTTCCTCTGGAATCTTAGAACACAGAGTTAAATCATTCCTCTATCACATGATCACTACCGTTAGAATCTGCTGTCGGGTAGATTCATCTTTTTCTCCTTACCACAACTGTAGACTTTCGAGTGGTTGCCAAACCTTCAAGTACGTGTCTTGTAAGCAGAAGCAGGGGCTTCTAACCATGCTGTGTTCAACGACTATTCGTCCCTGGCTATTGGGTTTGCTCTGGTCTTGGCTAGGCAGGCTGCTGGTGGTGACACCTTGGCGGGACTATGGGAGAAGACGGGACTTTATGGGCTGGATGGGGGCGGCAGTGACACGACCCTCTGTGAGGCTGACCCGTGTGGGAAGGCCTCATGTTTGTGTCTGGAGACCTCCCTGACCGTGTGGGGTGTATGCATGCCCATGATCCAGGGTTGGCTGGAGCTGGGGTGGGTGGAGGTGTGGGGATCTTCTAGGGGTGCTGTCTCTGTGTCTCTCACTCATGGGAGAAAGAAAGAGAGAAAAAAGATGAACTTCTTGGTTAGCCTGGGATATGCCACCAAATTAGCACATTGAGGTTAAGAAATTTGGAGCAGGGACCAGCAGGTGGCATAACGCTTATGTTGCTGGAATCCCACATGATCAATGGTGGTTCGAGTCCCGGACCTGGAGGCTGGAAACTCACCCCAGGCACATGTGCGTGCATGGTCAAGATCCCAGGAGGAGAATAGAAGAGAAGAGATTGCAGTGTAGCCAGCCTCCCTGGGGGGCGATCTCTCACTTTCTGTCTATCTCTTTCTCTCCGGCGAGTATATGTGACGTATAGCAAAAATCTCTCCACAAATAAATAAATAAATACAGAAATAAACTTGGATCAGTTTATGGACCTCACATTCATTGTGCTTGCAAAAGCAGATGCAGTTATCAACTGAGTAAAAATGAAAAGCAAGAAACGAATTTACTGGAAGTTTATCAGCAGTTCCATTTCCATGTAAAAAACGGTCTAAGAGGAAAAAGAAAGAGAAAGAAGGAAAGAAGGAGGGGTCTGAGAAGAGAAGAACAGGGGGACCCCTCCCCCCGAACCCACCGAGCAGGGCAGGAGACACATCAGACTCAGCTTTCAAATGCAATCGGCAATTTTATAATACGGTCATTTTTAATATTAAAAGTAAATTGTACATGTATCTTTATAAACAATATGCATAAAATAGATCATATTCTAAAACCTTTGCTTTTTCAAATGCTTGTTCACAGTAAATTTCTTAGGTGTCAGATGTCCCCTGGCAGCGGTAGTGCCGTCGGGAGAAGGCCGCGTGGTCGGGGCGGAGCGGCCCCCTAGTACAGATCCTTGTAGATCTCCTGCAGGAGCGGGTGCAGGCTCATGTCCGTCTCCGTCTTCTTGATCACCTGCAGGAGCTGCACGTGCTCCGTGACGATCTGTCTGAGGTCTGTCATTTTCTGGAGCAGTTTGGCGAACAGCTGGGAGGACTCGGGGTGGTTCAGCTTCAGCTGGAGCTCCAGGGCTTGCAGCAGGTTGTCCTGTATGTCTTCGATGGGCTTCACGTTCAGCAAACCCGGGCGGTCTGGGAAGGGGGGGAGGTGCGAAACACACGGCAGGGTCAGTCAGAGCACTCTCTGGGGGTCAGCAGATGGCATAGCAGTTATGTCGCTGAACTCACACACGGTAGACCGCGGTTCGAGCCCCCCACCTGGTGGCTTGAAACTCATGCTAGGCGCATGTGTGTGTGTGTGCCCAAGATCCCGGCAGGAGGATGGAGGAGAAGGGATTGCGGCATGGCCATCCCCCTGGGGGTGATTTTTCGCTTTCCCTCTGTCTCTGCCTCTGTTTCTCTCTCTCTCTCTGGTAAGCACACATGCCCTAAGGCAAAAACCTCTTTAAAAAAAAACCCAACACTCTCCAGGCCCCCTCCAAGGCTGATGCAGCTTTAGGGTGTTAGGCCAAACTTTCCTTTCATCCATTTTTTGGTTTGCTTCTTTTTTTTTTTCCTAAATTTTTTTTTTTATTTATTCATAACAGAGTGTGTGTGCTTATGAGAGAGAGAGAGACAGAGAGAGAGAGAGAGAGAGGAGGACCTGCCACAAGATCTGGTCACATCATGGCCCCTTCCTCCACTCCTCCAGCCCATCGAATCTTGGGTTCCTGCAATTGTTTCTGTCTGAACAGGCCAGGGATTCGAACCACGGTCACCATGTGAGATCCAGCTTCTCCTGAGCAGCACATTCCCACTGTGCTATGGAGCAGGCCTCCCCCCTCACCTTTATTTAAGTTTTTTTTCACTCTAGTGCATGTGCATTTGTCAGACAGAAACAGAGAGAAAGGGAACGTGAGAAATCACGTCCCAGGGGGCATTCTGGTCCCTTTGTGGATTTCTTTAAAGATAGGGTCTCTTGGGAGCAGCAGATGGTGCAATGGTTACATCGGTGGACTCCCATGTAGTCGACTGTGGTTCGAGTCCTGGACCCGGTGGCTTAAACTCATGCCGGGCGCATGTGCGTGAGTGCCCAAAATCCTGAGAGGAGAATGGAGGAGAAGGGATTGCGGGGTGGCCATTCTTCCTGGGGGGTGATTTCTCATTTTCTGTCTCTGTGTCTCTCTGGGTAAGGCATGAGCCTTATAGCAAAAATCTGTCTAAAATAATAACAATAGCAATAATAAAAGGCAGGGTCTCTCCACGTTGTGATGGTCCTGCCTCCGCTCCCCAAGTCACCAGGAATTCGGGCACACAGCACCACGCCTGGTCTTTGAGATGGACCGAGAATCAAACCTGGGCCTCCCACGGGGTCCCAGCCTGTGGAACCCGGGATCACAGCAGCGCCACCAGGGCTGGACCTGTGGCCCCAAGTCACAAAAAAGAACCACCTTTGTCTTTTGCTTAATATAGTATATTACATGTTCAATATAACAAAACATAGTTTTCAAATACATTGTAACATAGTTACAACTTGGAAGCATAAACCCCCCATCCCCAACTTTTTTTTTTTTTGAGAGGTTTTTGCTATAGGGCGCGTGCGCTCGCCAGACAGACAGAGAGAGACATAGAGACAGAAAGCGAGAAATCACCCCCCAGGGGGGATGGTCACGCCGCAATCCCTTCTCCTCCATTCTCCTCTCGGGATCTTGGGCATGCACGCACATGCGCCCGGTGTGAGTTTTAAGCCACCGGGTCCGAGACGCGAACCGCGGTCGACTACGTGGGAGTCCAGCGACATAGCCATTATGCTAACTACTGGTTCCCCATCCCCAACATTTTAACAGAGATCTCTTCCCCCTTTTTTGTCATAGGACACATACGCTAACCAGAGAGAGACAGAGAGAAAGGGAAAATGAGACCTCCCCCCCCCCAATCAAGAGGAGATGGCCACCACAGTCCCTTCTCCATTTTCCTCTCGAGATTCTGGGCATGCACACACAAATGCCCAGCATGGTTTTCAAGCCATCGGGTCCGTGGCTTGAACTATGGTAGACCGTGTGGAAATTGAGTACCTTAACCACCATGTTACCAGCTGGCTTCTAGAGACATAAAAATCACAATTCTTAAATTGTGGGTAATTTTAATTCATTCTTCTCTCTATAAATTTTGAAAAATTCTGTTTATTTCTTACATAAATCAGAGAGATGGAGAGGAAGAGACAGAGATATAGAGAGACAGCACCCCAAGAGGGTTTTTTTTTTTTTGAGAGGTTTTTGCTATAGGGAACATGCTCTCGCCAGAAAGACAGAGAGAGACAGAGAGACATAAAGCAAAAAATCACCCTCCCAAGGGGGATAGCCATGCCGAAATCCCTTCTCCTCCATTCTCCTCTTGGGATCTTGGGCACACACGCACACATGCCCGGTGTGAGTTTAAGCCACCGGGTCCAGGACTTGAACTGCGGTCAGCTACATGGGAGTCCAGTGACATAGCTGTTACACCAACTGCTGGTTCCTCTAACAGGGTTTTCATGCTGCTCTCTACCTCCAGTCTCAGCCAGCCCTGGATCATGTACACGTATGTGCTTGGTGTACTCAGGGAGCCCTCTGGATGACAATCTGGAGCCTTCCCATGTGGGTTAGCCTCACAGAGGGTTGGCTTCACTGCTGTTTCACTGTCCAGAAACCCCCTATGCCTTTCTTATTTCACTTTTCAACTGGTGAGCTTAAATCACTCTAAATGTTTTCCTTCATATAGATCTTGTTAGATTTATCCTTGAATACTTTATAGCTTCTATCATGAATTGCCTGCTCATTTTTTTTTTTTGGAGAGGTTTTTGCTATAGGGCGCATGCACTCGCCAGACAGACAGAGAGAGACAGAGACAGAAAGCGAGAAATAACACCCCAGCGGGGATGGCCATGTCACAATCCCTTCTCCTCCATTCTCCTCTCGGGATTGTGGGCACGCACGCACATGCGCCCGGCGTGAGTTTTAAGCCACCAGGTCCAGGACACGAACTGCGGTTGACTACGTGGAAATCCAGCGGCATAGCCATTACGCTAACTGCTGGTCCCGATGCCTGCTCATCTTTTAAAAAAGAATTATTTATTTATTTTATTCCATTCTGGTCCCGATGCCTGCTCATCTTTTAAAAAAGAATTATTTATTTTATTCCATTTGTTATTATTATTATTATTTAATTTGACCAGACAGAGGGAGAGAGAGAAAGGGAAAGTGAGAAAAGCAAGCCACCAAGTCTGGGACTTGAACTGTGGTTGGCCATGTGGGAGTACAACACCTTTAACCACCATGCCACCTGCCAGCCCTTGACTGCTCATATTCTTCACATTTTCTAACGTATCCCTGCTGATATTTAGAAAAACATCTAGAAAACTCTTGTCAGTTTAAATAACTTTTTTTTTTAAGAAGAATTACTTTATCTAACTTTATTTACTTATTTTAATTTGACCGGAGAGGGACAGTGTGAGAGAGAGGGACAGAGAGAGAGGGAAAGTGAGAAAGGAAGCTGCCATGTCCAGGACTCGAACCACAGTCGGCCACATGGGAGTCTAGTGCCCTTAACCACCATGCCATCTGCCGGCCCCAAATTCAAATAGCTTTTAGTCATAGAGTTTTATGTATGCTGAATAGACAATTACTTTACAAATCACAGTAGTTTTATTTCTCTCTCTTCCCCACCCCCCCCGACGTTTAGTTTTCATTTCCTTTTCTTGCCATATTGTGTTGGCTAAAGTCTCTAATACGGTATTAAATAATAGTAGCGATGGGAGATGTGCGTGTTTTGTTCCTGACTTTGAAGGATGCACTTCTAATGGTCTATCACCAAGGATGGTATTTGCTATAGATTACGGTGGGTGTTTGACTCCTGGCTCTTCCAGAGTTCTAAAGTTTTCAGTGTGTTTTAGTCAGGAATGTTGTTGCATTTTATCAAAGGCTTTAACATTTTTCTATCAAAAGAGATATGATATCTAAAGAGACATGGGTTTATCTTAATGGAGAATTACACTGAGATTCCCTCCTACCCTCGCACTCATCTGTGCATGTTTTATTTAGCGGTTTTGTATTTGCAGTTGGTATTGACTCAGAGTGTTATTTTTTGTGCTAGCCTTTGCCTGTTTTCGTAAGAAATGTTGACTAGTCTTGCAGACTGAGTTGAGTTCCCTTCTATTTCTATGTGGTAATGAGTTATTCTTCCTTGGTGACTTCTTGGAATTTGCTGGCAGAACCATCTGAGCTGGATGTTAAATCTTTCACTACTTTACATTTTTCTACTGTCGATTTTAACCTCTTCAGGCTTTCTCCTACTTTTAAAATTAAAAAAAAAATTTTTTTTCTTTTGGAGAGGGTTTTGCTATAGGGCTCATGTGCTCGCCAGAAAGACAGAGACAGAGAGAGAGAGAGACAGAAAGTGAGAAATCACTCCCCAGGGAGAATGGCCACACCGCAATCCCTTCTCCTCCATTCTCCTCTCGGGATCTTGGGCACGCACGCACACGTGGGGCCCGCCCGCACCCGCGCCCGGCGTGAGTTTAAGCCACCGGGTCTGTGACTCGAACCGTGGTCAGCAACATGGGAGTCCAGTGACATAGCCATTACGCCAACTGCTGGTCCTACGTCACTTAATCTTAACAATAACCCCATGGGGTCAGACTTCACGGAGGCAAAAAGGAAGATTTAGAGAAATGAGTTCAATCACTCCAAGACAGGCCCCATGCCAGTAAATGGCAGAGCTGAAGCCTGGCTTGAAGGCTGATTCCAGATGCTGTCCTTAGCCCCCGCTGCCCTGTATTATACTTGCAATGCTAGGCCATGAGGTATCGGCGTGCAGAGGCTCCATCTTGTATCTCTGAACCGCCAGTGGGAACACAGGAAGCAGGCGGCTGGCTGAGTGAGTGAGTGAGAAGGTTTTTCTAGCTAGCAGCCTTGGGTCAAAAAGTACCGTCCTCTTGGCTGGTAAAAAACTCTAAGCGCAGAATCACGACTCAATGAAGAAGTCTCTGGGAAGTGATGTTTTCCTGTATCTAATAAACACTAGCAACCTTTTTTGTTTTTCCTTTTTTTTTTTTTTTTTTAAATTCATGGTAGGGCACATTGCACTGATAGCCTGAAGCACTTCTAGGAACTTTG